ACCATGGTGAGCAAACCCAACTAGGAAGCTTACAATTCAGTATGGAGGAAGGCATTAAAAAAAATACTCAAACTCATTCTTTCAACAAATATTTATTGAGCACCTGCTAAGTGCCAGGCACTGTGGCAGGCCTGCAGGAATACAGTGTTGAATGAAAGCAGACCATGTCCCTACCCCTCACGGAGCTTACAGTCTAGCAGGGCAGAGAGAGTCATCCAGCAACCCCCTAATAAAGGTCTAACTACAAACTGTGGTCAGTGCCTTTAGAAAAGGAAAGAATGCCCTAGAATAAGGGTCCCTGGCCCAAACTGCAGGGTCAGGCAGGGCTTAAGGATGCTGAAAAAGCAAAATGAGCAAGTGGGGAGGTAGGGGAGTGAGAGACTGCTTGGGAACCCTGTGGGAGAGGTGATGAATGCAGTCCCCGACAAGGTGAGTTTGAGGAATTATTTGGGCCATCAGTCAAGTGGAGACGCCAAGTTTGGATACATGAAGCTAAGGGAAAAGCCAGGAGAAAGAGAAGGGCCAGAGAGTTAAGAGGAAAACCAGCAGAGTGTGGTCTCAAGGCAAGGGAAGACAAAGTGTTTCAAGTAGGAGTGGTCAACCACTTCAAGAGGAAAACCAAAAAACCACCTGCAGAATCTGGCAGATGCTGGGGGCTAACCCTTACATGGGGTGAGCAAGTGCAGAAGGCAAGTACAGGCAACTCTTTGCAGGGGTCGGCAGTGAAGGGGAGGGTGATGAGGTGTTGGCCAGAAGCAGAAGGGAGAGAAGGAGGGGTCAGCGGAGACACAAGGGATGCTGGCACCGGTAAAAGTCAATAGAGGATCAAGCGAGGGCAGCAGAAAACCTGCCAGGAGAGAAAAGGTGACTGATGATGTCAGATTCTAGAGCAAGTGGCAGAAACTGGGACCCAGAGCACAGGAGGGAGAAGTGGCCTGAGCAAGAAGGGACTCCTCCTCATCTGTAACACAGGGGAGCGAAATCAGCGTGCAGACTTGGGGGCCGCAAGTTATAGGGAGTTCCATTCTTATGGCTTCTGCTTTGTTTTTTGAAGCAGGAGAGAAAGTCTGAAGGTAAAGAACATTTGAAAGAGTCACTTGAGAGGAGAAACAAGAGTGGATCAGAAAAATATAGAACTGCTAGGCAGGGTGGCCGATGACCCTCTATTGGTGGCGATGCTCATCTGCTCTGCCACGGGACATTCTCTAACCAAGCTTAGCACCTGCTGGGCTGATGAGTGCTACGAAAAAGCCGGGGGCCTAAGGATGCTGGGGTAGACAGCTCCCCTGGGGAAGTCCTCTTAGAACTGAGGGATCAACACTGGAGGAGAATGCAAGGGGTACGGAATAAAAGTTCCTGGTGAAGGAAACAGCAGGGGCAAAGGCCCTGCAGCAGAAAGGAGCGAGGCCCTTTGGAGTAACAGAAAGACCACGGTGACAGGAGCTCAGAAAGAGCACTGGTGTAAGACTAGAAGCCAGTGGAGGCCAGATTGGGGGATGGGACGGGAGGGTGCTTGAAGACCATGGTGAGACTTTCTTGCTCTTTACTTTTAAGAGGAATAGGACACTTCCGAAGGGTAGCGTCAAGTGCCAAGGAAGATCAGGAGGGCTTTTCCCCACACCGGCCCTAGGACTTTGGACTTTGGGAGCCTCAGTTTGCTCATCCAGGAAAGAGAAATTTAAAACCTCTACTTCACAGGGAATGTTGTCGGAATTAAACCAGACCTTGCATGAAAATACAGTACTCAGTGAAGTGCCTGGCCAAGAGCAGGGGCTCAGTCAGGTCTCATACAACAAATCCTCTGTACCGCATCCCACAAGCCCTGTGACATCTTAGGACCACTCTGCATCTCTTTCCCTGCTGGAACCTAGCACTGTGCCCAGCACACAGTAGGCCCTCAATAAATGCTTGATTAATCATCTCTAAGCTTTAGAGTTATCAAATGCCTGGTCCAGCAACCCAGGGAAAACAGAAAGCAGCCATTTGGGTTTCTGAACTATATCCTGATGGCTACCACGGACTTCTCCCATGCCCTCACCTGATGTGGCTGTGCTCAGTGCACAGTGGGCCTGCAGCCAACATTTCCTAAACAGGAAGCCCTCTATGATAGGGCTCCCACAGGTAAGGGATATACCCTGAGATCCTCCACCATTTCCCAAGACGGCTAGGTCGCAAAGGGTGGCTAGTCTTCAGCAGCGCTGCAAGTCACTGGCAGCACACAGGTTCTAAAACAATAATATGTTGAAATGTACTCGCCAAGAAAGCCACCGACCTACAAAAAAACCCTTATCGCTGATCTTGCAATGAGCACCAACCTCCCCTTTGCAAGAGCTGAGATCGAAAGATAAAGAAGCTATCAAAAAGCCATCTGCCCACTTAAAATAATATCACAAGTCATGTTAGGAACCACAGACCTGGGGCCAGATACCAAAACAATTGTCTGAACAGGCTGCTTCAATTTCTCCTTAAAACCACCCATGTATGTTAAAAGAAAAACACCCTCTCCACCCACCTTGGCCCTGCAAGGTTTTGATTTCTCTGTTCTCTGTCTTTCACACTCTTTAAAATGACCAAACTCCTTTACCCAAACTGTCGCATCTTACAGACAGGGTTCCCATGACAGCCGGCGGGGATGACAGCTTGGGAAAGTGATAGAAATGAAGGTGGCTCTGGGGCACTGGACCTGCCCAGTATCTTCATCCGGGTGGTGGTTACACAAGTGCATACATATGTACAAATCCGCTGGGCTATACACGGAATATCAGTATACTTTACGTAGGTATACCTCAATAAAGCAAAAAAAGGTAAAAGGAAAACATGACATGCTGGGAACACCAAGAGTGAAATCCAGAATTTGCCCTGAATCATGCCAGGCTTTCCAGAGGATCAGTTTAAAAAAAAAAAAAAAAAAAAAAAAGATAGAAAAAAGTAAATATACATCCCTAGCATTTCTTCCCTGGCCCTGTCACTCACTAAATGAGAGGCTTTGAGCAAGCTGGCTCACCTCTCTGAGCTACCTGTCTCCCCTCTACTAAATGGGGGTAATCATAGCACCTACACAACACAGCATGCACAGCAGGCCTCATGGAGAGAATGGATCTGATGTTCATAGCACACAAATCAGTAAATGCTGGCCAGTTATCTTTTGCAGCTACCACCATGCTTCAGTTACCTTGCCTATGTTTGCTGCATCCAATCCAACCATGCGAAGTGACTGTCATTCCCCTTAGCAGAGGAGGAAACTGAGGCAAGGCCACACAGCTGATGGGCGGAGTCAAATTTAGGAGAGGAATCCAGGAAACTGTAGGTGTGGCTCCCTAAATACTGACACCAGCTAACATCTGTATGATACTACTTTAAGCCAGACTCAGTTCTGAGCATCTTTACTCATATCCCGTAAAGTAGGTGCTATAATTCTGCTTTACAGATAAGATTCCTGAGGAACGGTGTAGTTAAATGTGTTGGCCAAGGTCACAAGGCCAGTAAGTGGCAGTGCCAGGATTTGAACCCAGAAAATCTATGCCAGAATCCACACTCTTAATGCTGTAAGAAAAACCATGCTGCCTGTCCCCTTTAAATTTAAGTCTCAGATTATGGTGGGGCTCACAGGTGGGTGAGTGGGTGCTTGCCTGCCTGCTCAGTTACCCAGGAACATCTGCCCACCAGCCCGGAGTTAGACCTTTCTGAACTACTCACAGCCTAAGGCCTTACCAGAACCAGCAGAGCCCACAAATGTCTCACTGCAGCCAGGGGCTTCTGACCGAGCATATACATACAAGGTCTAAAAAGCATTTTCCCATTTCCATTTCCAGTCCTCCCAGGAACAGGGAAATGTATGGATTTTAGGGAGAATCTAGTGATCCTGGGCCAGACTTAGGGTGACCGCAAAAAGAATCAGGCCCAGCTGCTGCCCTTAAAGAACTCATAGCTTGATAGAAGAAACCTAGGGAAATCTTCTACCGGGGCCCCCTGGGGTATAACTCATTATTTCTCCCTGTCCCTGAATGATCACAGGTAGTGTGGCAAAAAAACAAGGGACAAAAACTTCAAGTCCAGTACCCATCTGGTTCTGTCTCTCTGCCAAAGCCACTGCTTTCTTGTGAGAGCACGGCCTCAGCTCCTCGCCTCCACAGGAGGACTCAAAGTAGATTACAGCATAAGAGTAGAGTGCACAGGCTTCAAGGTCAGACATGGGTGAACTGGAAGAGCCAGGTTGACACCACTGCCTCAACCAGTTTCTCCACCTCTGGAATCCTGGTTTCCTGCTCTGTCAGAAAGAGAATCTGCTCTATCCCCCACTGGCAAAGCCCTCAGTCCACACTACTATGTCACTGCAGTTCTCTCCACTCCCAGCACACTGCTGATCATTCACACCAACCTCATTTCCACCCCAGGACCTTTGCACTTGCTGTTTCCTCTACCTAAAACACCCTTGTTCCATATATGCACATAACTGTTCTTCATCATTCAGGACTTAGTTTAAATGATAGTTTAAATGAAACGTCCTCAGAAAAATCCTCCCTGTTCCTTCTTCTACAAACTCTACCCTACCTCCCCACCGTATCTGCATAACTCTTCTTTATCATCATTCGGGACTCACCTCCTCACAGGCCCTCCCTTTAACAGCATGTCTAATACAGTCATTCCCTCCCAATCTATCCCCTTACTCCCTTCAGCAGCTTTGTCCCTATTTATCCTATCTGCTTCCTCCCTTGTTTTTTCAAACTGTCTCCCATAGGAGCCTGTATGAATCCTTGAGGGCAGGGTAGATGTCTGTCTTGTTCAGGGCTTTACAGTGGAACTCAATAAATGAATGAATAAAACCCCAGTTAAAACAGTGCCTAGCACATGTTTGACCTCCATCACTCTTGGACTAACTGACTCAATGCACCCTCCTCCCTGTTCTGGAGAGCAGGCCTGAGGGGTTCCTGGGCCGGAATGTTTGTCCTCCATCCCAGACACAGCCCTGCGTTGGCGGAGGTGGCGCTGGCTGACATTACCTGCGCCTCACCGGCTTCATGCAGCTCTTCAGCTGCCTGGCCTCAGCCTCCACGGGACCCTGGCACTCGGGCTGTGGCTCCAGCTGCTGCAGCTGCTGCTGCTGGGGCAGCCCTTCCGCATCAGCGGGTGAGGGAGCGGGTGCGATCCGGAGCAGGACTGTGTAGTTGCGGCCGTGGTTGTTGGCCCAGAAAGTGCCCTCGGGGGTCTCATAGCGCACCACGAAGTCGAGGCGCGCCCCATCGCCCGCGCCCTCAGCAAAGGGCAGCTGGAAGGCAAAGCGGTCAGTGCGGCCGCCGTCGTCGGGCGAGGA